GAGTCCCTTTGGACTGAAAGGAGATCAAACCCATCAGTCCCAAAGGAAATCAGTCCTGAATATTCATTGGAAGGACTGATGCTGAGGCTGAAACTCCAATACTTTGGCCACCTGATGCGAAAAGCTGATTCATTGGAAAAGACCCTGATGCTGGGAAAGATTGAAGGCAGGAGGAGAAGGGGATGACAGAAGATGAGGTGGTTGGATGGCATCACTGACTCAGTGGACATGACTTTGAGCAAACTCCATGAGAGAGTGGAGGACAGAGGAGCCTGGCGTGCTGCGGTCCAAGATCACAAAGAGTCAGACACGACTTAGTAACTGAGCAACAAAGACAAGAGAGGAAGCAAACCGTGGCCTTTCCTTCTCATGGGTGAGAACTTACCTCCTTACGAAGCCAGCCTGTGAAATGACCACGAGTAAACCCAAGCATGGAGGAGGCAATGGCGCCCCACTCCAGTGCTCTTGCCTGGAGAATCCCAGGGACGGGGGAGCCTGGTGGGCTGCCGCCTACGGGGTCACACGGAGTCGGACACGACTGAAGTGACTCAGCAGCAGCAGCAGCAGACCCAAGCATGAGCCACTGCACCCCCTCTTCCCACGAGTGTCTCCTCTGTAAGTCTGGGGAGCAGAGGTGGGAAAGCAGGGAGGATTGTCGTTGCCTGTGTCTGAGCTTCACCCGGACTGTGGTTCAATAGGAGCCTTCAGTCTCCAGCACTATCAATCCGCCCCTTTTTAATAGCATCCACTTTGTTTTAAAAAATTCATGCTGTGGGTTTTGAGGTCATAACTGTAGCTCCAGAAAAGTTTGTTAAAGATTGCACTGGATTGATACTTTTTAATGGACAGTGTCTGTACTGGGGCGTTTATGCCTTATAACAGATCCATTTGGGGAAGGAAAAAGATTGTGAGAGCTTTTTCACTCAGCTATTGCTGTTTTTGTCCAAATGTCTCTGAAAATTTGATGGGAGGAAGAATTTTTGTCTTTATTATGCTTGACTGAATAATTTGTTAGATTATGTTTTAAATCAGCATTTCCTCAAATTGAAAAACAACTAACGCTAAAGCATAGCATGGATTATTGTACATGCAATTTGCATAAAAGTTAAAAAATAGTACTTCACTAGTATCAGGTCACTGCCTGGAAAAAATGCACAAAACCGATGGTTAAGATGAATATTGTTGGTATTCAGACCTTCTGCTTGCTAATTATAAAAAAAAAAGCATAACATAGCCACCTGATTGAGTGGGCTCATAATCAAATCATAATCATTTGGAATAAAATGGAAGCTTAATGTGAAACCGCTGACACAGCAAGTTTAATTAAAGCTCTTCTGTATTTTGAGAGTAAAGTTCTAAATTTCTGTATTTCAGTGATTTTTACAAGTGGTAGGTCTGGGTCCTGTGGGGATTCAGGGTCAGAGAGACTGCTAAGTGGATGTCCAGGCCGGCCTTGCTCACCAGCCCTTCACCCCAGGCTTCATCTAAAACAGCTGCAGGTCATCTGTCATGTTTATTGGATTTCTGCAGTTTTTGTGTGAAGACAGGCGTCTATAGTTAAAAAAATGTTGGAACACTGTTGGAGTAGTTGTTACAGTTTCCAGGTGGAAGAGCTGTTCTTTTAGGCACATAATGCAAATGAAGAAATAAGGAAAAGACAATGCAAGCGCAGAAGAGAACACTTCCAACTAGGGGAAAGGAGAAGGTCAGCATGTACTGTAAGTCCATGTTTGTGTACCATGCACTTAATCGGTTGTGTCCAACTCTTTGAGACCCCATGGCATGAGACCCCGTGGTATGCAGACCCTAGCCATGAATCGAATCCGTGAAGCCTGCAGTGGAAGTGCGGAGTCTTAACTGCTGGATAGCCAGGGAAATCCTCCCGACCACTATTCTTGATTTAACTGAAGGAGAGAATGTGGTATGTTGTGCGCGCATGCTGAATCACTTTAGTCCGGTCCAACTCTTTGCGACCCTGTGGACTGTAGCCCGCCGGGCTCCTCTGTACATGGGATCCTCCAGGCAAGAGTACTGGGGCGGGCTGCCATCTCCTTCTCCAGGGACCTTCTTCACCCAGGATCGAACCCGGGCCCCGTACGTCTCCTGCCTTCTCCCGTGGATTCTCGTGCCACTAGCGCCCCCTGGGGGCCGCGCGCTGCGTTGTGGACTGTGTCTTTAAAGAGCAATAATTCACTTGACAGCTGTAGGGTGAGAACGAGGCAAACATGCGAACATATAGATGTTAAACAGACATGTGAAGACTTAGATATTTTCAGTCAACTCCAGGAGATAGAGAAGGACAGGGAAGCCCGGTGTGCTGCTGTCTGTGGGCTTACAGAGGGTCGGACACGACTTAGCGACTGAACAGCGAGATGTTCGCCCAGAGGGCGCAGCTGCTGCAAAGGCCTGGCGCGGAAGAGCTCACCACGCTGGGGCCAGAAGCCGACGTTTAGGATGGCTCCGGGGTCCCGGGTTCAGACCAGCCCCTCTCCCCTTTCCTGCGCGTTGAGGCGCTCCTCGGCAGTGTTCTGAGAGTGCTCTGGGCTGCCTCTCAGTAGGGATTTAGCACCTCACTGATAACTGAAGCTTGCAGGCCTGAGAGGCCACTGCCGACAGAAACAGCGGCAGCAACTTCAGCAAATAACTGTGTGAAATCCTGCTGTCTCTGGTCCAGTCCAAGAGCAAGATGATTTCAAAGTTTATGAGGCATTTTGGCCACAGCTTAAAATTATTGCCATTATATTTCTCAAGTTTAAATTTAAAGGTTAAATTAACTATTGTTAGTACTTTTGAATATATCTGAAAAATTTTTGGGGGGGTGTATGTTAGGTAAGTATATAGTTAATATGTAAAAAATAAAAATGTTTTAATATATATGTCTCTCTGTATATATATATATATTTAGAAACTCTACCTCTCTCTTTTTAATGCTAACTAATATTTCATTCTTTGGAAATACCATCATTTATTAATAAGTCATTGGAATCCTGACTTTGCCCTTACAAAATATATTTAGTTAGGTCAGGAGAAGAGGAGATACCATTCTAGGTAAAAGAAATGTAAGTGTAAAGATGCTAAAGTAAGCAGTGGGGAATCCCCTGGCATTCCAATGGTTAGGTCACTGTTGGTTGAGTATCTTTCATTTATTTGTTCTTTAGGGGGAAATCCCCTCTAGGACTAAGGGTAATGTTACAAACATTTGCTTTTTATTTCAATACCTGTGAAGACTTTGCTTGGTTCTGAACGACTTGTTGAAAGGAATCACCAAGAATGAAAGGCCCATGGATATGTAGACACCCAATGAAGTGATTTCTCCAAAGAAAGAAATGAATGGGCTCTTTAAAAGGGAATTTGAAAACAGACCTTACAGACCTTCTTAGCATAAGATCATTATCACATTTCCTTTATAAAAGCTTTTTATTTAAAAATAATTTGACTTAAAATATTGCAAAAGTAGCACACAGATTTCCCAAGGTATATCTATACCCAGATTTTCCAAATGTTAACATCTTACATAAACATAATGATCTAAACAAAAAATTAAAATGGATTCGGTATGAGCATACAGATCTTATTAGAAATTCCAAGCTGTCCTAGTAATGCTCTTTTTCTGGTTCAGGATACAGTCCAAACTGTCACATTGCATTTAGTTATCCTGTCTCTTTAGATTCCTCCAATCTGGGTCAGTTTTTCAGCTGTTTTTAGTCTTTCATGATCTTAATATTCTTGAAGAGTAGTGGACAGTTGTTCTGTAGACTGCCCCTCTGTTTGAGTTTGTCTGAGTGTTGTGCACTATTGGGGAAGGTTCCTCAGAAGTGATGAAGAAGGAGAAGGTCCCACAGAAGTGATGAAGAAGGAGAAGGTCCCGCAGAAGTGATGAAGAAGGAGAAGGTCCCGCAGAAGTGATGAAGAAGGAGAAGGTCCCGCAGAAGTGATGAAGAAGGAGAAGGTCCCGCGGAGGTGATGAAGAGGGAGAAGATCCCGCGGAGGTAATGAAGAGGGAGAAGGTCTCACGGAAGTGTTAAAGAAGGAGAAGGAAATGGCAACCCACTCCAGTGTTCTTGCCTGGAAAACCCAGGGACAGGGGAGCCTGGTGGGCTGCCATCCATGGGGTCACACAGAGTCGGACACAACTGACGCGACTTAGCAGTAGCAGCAGCCGCAGAAGTGATGGTGTGTCCTTCATGCATCATTTCAGAAGGTAGTGATGTTGAACTGTCCTACTGTCTGTGATGTTAACTTGGATTGTTCGGTTCAAGTGGCATCTGCCAAGTTTCTACACCACAATGTTCCTCTTTTTCCTTTTGTAATTAACAAGTATCGTATATAGAGAGATACTTTCAAACTACATAAATATTCTCTATTAATTTCCTATTCCTTGTATCAGTTCAGTTCAGTTCAGTCACTCAGGCATGTCCAACTCTGAGACCCCATGAATTGCAGCATGCCAGGCCTCCCTGTCCATCACCAGCTCCCGGAGTTTACTCAAACTCATGCCCATTGAGTTGGTGATGCCATCCAGCCATCTCATCCTCTGTCGTCCCCTTCTCCTCCTGCCCCTAATCCCTCCCAAAAATAAGCAGGGTGACAATATACAGCCTTGATGTACTCCTTTTCCTATTTGGAACTGGTCTGTTGTTCCATGTCCAGTTCTAACTGTTGCTTCCTGCCTTGCATACAGGTTTCTCAAGAGGCAGGTTAGGTGGTCTGGTATTCCCATCTCTTTCAGAATTTTCCACATAAATATTCCTGGTATAACGACCACAAATTTAGTGACTTTAAACAACATAGATTTATGGTCTAACTGTTCTTACAGGTCAGAGTGTGAAATGGGTCTCATGGGATAAAATCAAGGTGTTGGCAAGAGGCTCTAGGTGAGACCCTGTTTTCTTGCCTTTTCTAGAGTGTGCGTGTATTCCTGAGTGTGAGTGTATTCCAGCATGTGTGTGTATTCCCGAGTGTGCATGTGTTCCAGAGTGTGTGTGTGTTCCCGAGTGTGCATGTATCCCGAGTGTGCATGCATCCCGTGTGCGTGCGTTCCCAAGTGTGCATGTCCCCGAGTATGCGTGTGTATCCCGAGTGTGCATGTATCCCGAGTGTGCGTATGTCCCCGAGTGTGCGTGTGTATCCCGAGCGTGCGTGTATCCCGTGTGCGTGTGTCCCCGAGTGTACGTGTATCCCGAGTGTGCGTGTCCCCAAGTGTGTGCGTGTGTCCCCGAGTGTGCGTGTGTTCCCGAGTGTGCGTGTATCCCGAGTGTGCGTGTGTCCCCGAGTGTGCGTGTGTTCCCGAGTGTGCGCGTATCCTGAATGTGCGTGTCCCCAAGTGTGTGCGTGTGTCCCCGAGTGTGCGTGTGTTCCCGAGTGTGCGTGTATCCCGAGTGTGCGTGTGTCCCCGAGTGTGCGTGTGTTCCCGAGTGTGCGCGTATCCTGAATGTGCGTGTCCCCGAGTGTGTGCGTGTGTCCCCGAGTGTGCGTGTGTTCCCGAGTGTGCGTGTATCCCGAGTGTGCGTGTGTCCCCGAGTGTGCGTGTGTTCCCGAGTGTGCGCGTATCCTGAATGTGCGTGTCCCCGAGTGTGTGCGTGTGTCCCCGAGTGTGCGTGTGTTCCCGAGTGTGCGTGTATCCCGAGTGTGCGTGTGTCCCCGAGTGTGCGTGTGTTCCCGAGTGTGCGCGTATCCTGAATGTGCGTGTCCCCGAGTGTGTGCGTGTGTCCCCGAGTGTGCGTGTGTTCCCGAGTGTGCGTGTATCCCGAGTGTGCGTGTGTCCCCGAGTGTGCGTGTGTTCCCGAGTGTGCGCGTATCCTGAATGTGCGTGTCCCCGAGTGTGTGCGTGTGTCCCCGAGTGTGCGTGTGTTCCCGAGTGTGCGTGTATCCCGAGTGTGCGTGTGTCCCCGAGTGTGCGTGTGTTCCCGAGTGTGCGCGTATCCTGAATGTGCGTGTCCCCGAGTGTGTGCGTGTGTCCCCGAGTGTGCGTGTGTTCCCGAGTGTGCGTGTATCCCGAGTGTGCGTGTGTCCCCGAGTGTGCGTGTGTTCCCGAGTGTGCGCGTATCCTGAATGTGCGTGTCCCCGAGTGCGCGTGTGTTCCCGAGTGTGCGTGTATCCCGAGTGTGCGTGTCCCCAAGTGTGTGCGTGTGTCCCCGAGTGTGCGTGTGTTCCCGAGTGTGCGTGTATCCCGAGTGTGCGTGTATCCCGTGTGCGTGTGTCCCCGAGTGTACGTGTATCCCGAGCGTGCGTGTATCCCGAGTGTGCATGTCCCTGAGTGTGCGTGTGTTCCCGAGTGTGCATGTATCCCGAGTGTGCGTGTGTCCCCGAGTGTGTGTGTGTTCCCGAGTGTCCGTGTATCCCGAGTGTGCGTGTGTCCCCGAATGTGCGTGTGTTCCCGAGTGTGCGCGTATCCCGAATGTGCGTGTCCCCGAGTGCGCGTGTGTTCCCGAGTGTGCGTGTATCCCGAGTGTGCGTGTCCCCGAGTGTGTGCGTGTGTTCCCGAGTGTCCGTGTATCCCGAGTGTGCGTGTGTCCCCGAGTGTGCGTGTGTTCCCGAGTGTGCGCGTATCCTGAATGTGCGTGTCCCCGAGTGCGCGTGTGTTCCCGAGTGTGCGTGTATCCCGAGTGTGCGTGTCCCCGAGTGTGCGTGTGTTCCCGAGTGTGCGTGTGTCCCTGAGTGTGCGCGTGTCCCGAGTGTGTGCGTATCCCGAGTGTGCGTGTATCCCGAATGTGCGTGTATCCCGAGTGTGCGTGTATCCCGAGTGTGCGTGTGCAATTCCCCGAGTGTGCATGTATCCCGAGTGTGCGTGTATCCCGAGTGTGTGTGTATCCCAAGTGTGCGTGTTCCCAAGTGTGCGTGTGTTCCTGAGTGCACGTGTGTCCCCGAGTGTGCGTGTATCCCGAGTGTGCGTGTATCCCCGAGTGTGCGTGTGTCCCAGGGTGTGCATGTGTCCCGAGTGTGCGTGTGTCCCCGAGTGTGCATGTCCCTGAGTGTGCGTGTGCTTCATGGCTCATGGCTTTTCCAGTTTCCAAAGTCAGCAATGGCCAATCATTTTTCTCACACTAAATCACTCTGACACCAACTATTCTGCCTCCCTCTTCTACTTTTAAGCTCATCCTGGCTCATATCTCCATATTTTTAAAAAACTTTTTATCTATATTGGAGTACAGTTGTTTAACAATATTGTGTTAGTTTCCGGTGTATAGCAAAGTGTTGCAGTTATGCATGTACATGTATCTATTCTTTTTCAAATCCTTTCCCCAATTAGATTGTTACAGAATACTGAGCAGGGTTCCCTGTGCTATACAGTGGGTCCTTGTTGGTTATGCATTTTAAATATAGTAGCGTGTACATCTCCATCCCAAACTTGGTAACTCTCCCTAACTAACGCCCACCATCCCTCTCAGTAACCAGAAGTTCATTCTCTAAGTGTGTGAGTCTGTTTCTGTTTTGTAACTAAGTTCATGTGTATCATTTTTTTAGATCCCATAGATACACAACATCATATTTCTCTGTCTGTCTTACTTCACTCAGTATGACAATGTCTAGGTCCATCCCTGTTGCTGCAGATGGCATTACTTCTTCTTTTAAATGGCGAGGAATATTCCATTTGATATATGCACACACCTCTGCTGATGGACACTCAGGTTGCTCACGTCTTGGCTGTTGTAAACAGGGCTGCAGTGAGCATTGGGGTGCGTGCATCCTTTTGCATCTTGCTCTTCGCTGGGTATGTGCCCAGGAGGAGTGGGATTACAGGATTATATGGTAGATCTATTTTTAGTTCTTAAAGAAACTCCATTCTGTTCTCCATAGTGGCTGCACCAATTTACATTCCCACCAGTGATGTGGGAGGGCTCCCTTCCCTCCACACCCTCTCCAGAATTTATTGTTTCTGGGGTTTTTGTTGATAGCCATTCTGAGTTGTGTTAGGTGATATCTCCTTGTAGTTTTTATTTAAAATTTCTCTAATAATTAGCAATGTTGAACATCTTTTCATGTGCTTTTTGGTCATTTGTGTGTATTCTTTGGAGAAATGTCTATTTAAGTCTTCTGCCCATTTTTTGATTGGGTTGTTTGTTATGATGATATTAAGCCACAGGATCTGTTAGTAAATGTTGGAGGCTAATCCCTTGTCGGTCACATCTTTTGCAAATATTTTCTCCCGTTCTGAAGGTTATCTTTTCATTGTGTTTATGGTTTCCTCTGTGTGCAAAAGCCGTTACGTTTAATTAAGTCCCATTTATTTATTTTTGTTTTTATTTCCATTACTCTGAGAGACAGATAGGAAAAGACATTGCTGCGATTTGTGTCACAGAGTGTTCTGCCTATGTTTTCCTCAAAGAGTTCTAGAGCATCCAGTCTTGCATTTAGGTCTTCAATCCATTATGAGTTTATTTATGTGTATGGTGTTAAAGAATGTTCTAATTTCATTTTTATGTGTAGCTGTTCAGTTTTCCCAGCACCTTTCATTGAAGAGACTGTCGTTCCTTCATTGTATAGTCTTGCCTCTTCTGTCATAGATTAATTGACCATCTGTGTGTGGGTTTATTTCTGGGCTCCCTGTCCTGTTCCATTGATCTATAATATCCCTATTTTAAAGTCAGCTGCTTAGCAACCTTAATTCCATCTGCAGCTTAAATTGTCCCTGGCTAAGAGCACAGTATATTCATAGGGTTCCTGGGAGTGCATGTGGGTATCTTTAGTGTCATTATTCTGCTTACTGCAATTTCATTCTTCATCAAAATTTCAGCTTATTAATTTATGTTGGGTTTTTTAAAATCATTATGGACTCACAGTTTTCTGTTTTATTCAACAGATTTTTTAGTTTTTAATATCGTTATTTTTTGATGCTCAAATTGTCTCAAATTGGGCTCATAGAATCCCAGCATTATTCTGACATGCCCCCAACATTATATTGGGATTATCTTTTACTTTACCTAATACAGCTCTGGAATCAGCCATTTCTCCAAGGGATCCTGCTCTCTTTTATTGGAAAATGGCATTTAGAAGCCAACATTGGGAACTAAGTGTGCTCATTTCCTCCGGGGCACTTTGCTTCTTCGTCCTTTCAAAGGACAATTAGGAAATATATGTACAGAGCTCTTTCCTTTTTTTCATAGACTTCAACAAAATAGATTTATCTATTTAATTTTTCTATTGTTGCTTCATCTGTTTAGTTCTGAATATTATGAGGCAGAGGATGGGTCACTATACAGTAAAATCACCTCTTAGGTGTTTGTGGCTGAAGTTAATCTGTAAAGTGGAAGTTGCTTACAGTAAGACTTAAATTACTTCTGGTGACAACTGAAAATTCCTCAAATCTCCCGTATATTTCAGACTTTTATCAAGCCTCAGTAAGTCCAGCACAGCCAGTTTTTCCTCTGGCATTGAAACCAATTGCTGTTTCATTATTTGAGGCACAGATATGTATCTTTAATCAATGAAATGTAGCATTGCTCAAACCAAGAGAAAAATAAAAAAGACCCTCTTTCCCACATAAGCAGCAAGTGCATCTCCTTTTGTATACTTCTGGGCACATACTCACTTGGGAACATATTGGTGGAGTAGTCTGCACTGTTTGGATTGTCTTCATGCTCATACTCTATCTTTTATTCTGAGCGCTTGCAGATGAATTGAAGGAAGTTAACAGCATTCAAGACTATTTTGGTCTATGTCCTGTGTCACAGGCATAGTTCTTCTCTATATAGCAGACATACTAAGGAAGTATGAGCTCAATGGATAAATGAAAGTATTAGTGTTTTGTGTCCTTGAACCTTGGAGACTTGTCTGTCCTTCCATTTCCTTAATTTTAATTCTCTCCTTACATGACTTATTTTCATTTACTTGAACTCTTTTATTTTTATACATAAAATCATGCTGATATTGGGGTAAGAAGACAGGGAATAATTCACACACATTCCTGTATTGGGATCTTTCAGAGAGGATATCATGGATTTGAAGTTTTCACTGGAGTTTTGAGAAGGCATGAACTTGAATTGTTTTTGAAAATACCAAAAACCCAGAGAAGACTGTTTAGGAAGACAAGATGCAAGTTTTATTTGAGGATCTCAGCTTATCTATTGCGAAACCTACAGCTTGTTCCCTTCCAAAACTCCTCCTTTCATAGATGCAGCCAGAAATCTTTCTGCAGGTAATTTTCCTATTTGTCCAAATCTGGAAATACCGATTTAGCAAATACTTCCTCCAGGTTTATGATATACAGGGAGATCACGGACTTTAGGAAAGTTCAACATGAAATGAAGCTTGGGCATACTTTTCTTGTAAAAGAATCTTAAAATTCTAGGCAAACTATTCCATTCTGTTGCCTTTTCATACTGTTCAGGCGGTTCTCATGGCTAGAATACTGGAGCGGTTTGCCATTCCCGCTTCCAGGAGACCGTGTTTTGTCTGAACTCTTCACTATGACCTGTCTGTCGTGGATGGCCCTGCATGGGCACAGGTCATCGCTTGAGTGAGTTACGCAAGCCCCTACGAGGTATGAAGGACAGGGCAGCCGCGTGCTGCAACCCATGGATCGCGAGGAGTCAGATCTGACGTAGGGACTGAACAACGACAGCTGCAACATCCCATTCTGGTGGCTAGGTTTTATTGTCTTCATTTCTCACCGAGTTCATCTGACAATTTTCTGTTCTGCCACAACAGGAAAACAAGTAGATGGCAACCTAGAAATCAGAAAAACAATGAGGATATCTTCTGGGAGAAGTTGAAGATGGTTTAGGAGAGTTGCTGGACTATTATTTTAATCAATTCTGCTTTGCTACTGATGAGAAATTCAGAGCTCCTCTTTAAAAGGATTGCTTCAATACTAATCTCTCTGCCAACACAGCATGGAAAAACAAATTGAGATGCATCACCCATAAAATGCCACTATTCCTACTTTTGTTTGGCTGATTCTGCCTCACCCCATCCCATTTTTTTGGCA